TTGGTTTATTTTAGACATGGAAGATGAAAAAAGGACAGATGCTTTCAACTCCAAGAAAAATAATAGTTGACTCACAGTGACTTAAATAAACAAGGATTGCTTTTTTTCCTCACACAAAAAGGAGTGAAGGTGGTTGCTGACTGTGGTTCACTGGAGCTCTGGTTTTCTTGATCATACAGCTCCAGGCACGGTGTCTGCATTTGAACAAGAACAGTGGAGAGTAACAGGGGACCTCTGTATCAGAAAAATAAAAGTTTTCTCAGAACACCTTAGCTGACTTCTGCGTACCTCTCATTAGCCAGGACTGTGTCACATCATCACTGCGGATGACAAAGAAAAAAAAAAATCTCTCCCTGGCAGCTAATCTACGAGGGTGATCTTAGGATTGATGTAAGTCACAGATAGCAAAACGGACTTTACTGTTACTCACAGAACAGGAAAAAAATTGCCAAACCAGTCATGAACACCACTTACTTCAGCTCAAAATATTTTAACACCAGCTTCTCCATTCCATGTGACGTGAATCAGAATCATAGACAAACAAACAAGAGCTCTGCAGGGATTCACAAGTTCTACCTCTACCGCAGCAACTCTCCTAGTTTATAAATTATGACCAGTACCTGCCAGGACCCTCCCAGGACTGACTCAGACCCCCAATACACTTTCCTCACTCCCTTCCTCTCCCCACCTCCCTCTGAGAAGACCCTTGGTTCTCTTTTGGTTCCCACTTGCAGGAGGAAGTAAATAAACCTAACTTTAGTTATAGGAGTGTTTTTGCAGGCTTTTGCCTCTCAGATTTTCACACCCAGAAAGAGGATAGAGAGAAGTGGGTCGAAGACAGGAGTTGAGTCTGGTGCCTGAAGATGTTTGCCACAGGGAACCAACAATGTGAGGGTGCAAAGGAGCAGATAAAAAATGGTACTCATGCAAGGAGAAACAAGGAGATTATCTGCTAGATATCTTACTGTTTACGGAGAATATTCTAGCAACTGAGCATTTGATGAAGTCCTCCTCCCTAAGAGCAGGGTCTCACTCGAAGGGTAAGGCTACAGGCTCCTGACATTGGAAGAGGCTTCCTGCCCACTACTCACCCTCTCCCTTTCCAGTTCTTCTGCTGTTTATGAAATACAGCTGAAGAAACCAGAGGTCCTCAATAGATAAGCACGACGTTTTGTCAGACACAACACCTCATTGTTTAATCTGCAGATGTGTGCTTGTACGATACATGTATCCAACTGCCTTCTTGAAATGTCCACTTAGATGTCCAATAGACCTTTCAACTCCTGCCCAACAGTGAATTCCTGATTTTTTTCTTCCACCCCATGACTAATCTTCTCTACCACTAGCCTTCCCATTGGAGGACATGGTAACTCCTTCCTTCCAGTTGCTGTTACCAAATCATTTCGGTTTATCCTTATAGCTTCTCTTCCTCTCATGCCTTGAAACCAATCCATTAAGAAATCCTACTGACCAACCCTTCTCAGTATATTCAGAATTGACCACATGACACTACCTCTTGCGCTAACAGCACCCCAGTCTTAGGCCACCAGCACCTCTCACCTGGATTACTATGACAGGCTCCCAGCTTCTACCTTTCGTCCTCCCACAGCCAGGGTTATCCTTTACAAATGTAAGCTAAAGCATGCCACTGCTCTACTCAGAAACCTGCAATGACTCCCTAGTTCTCTCACAGTAAAAGCCAGATCCTTACAGTTACCTACAGGTCTCCAGGCCCTGGCCTCTAGGATTGCTCTGGCCTCCTCTTATGCGGCTCTGCTCCTCGTCCTTCCAAACTTGCCACCCTGGCCCCTTGTTAACCCTAGATGATACCAGGCAGCCTTGTTGCATTGACTATTCTCTCAGCCTGTAATGCTCTTTCCCCAAATTGGTGAATTCTATTACTCTTTCAGGTCTTGAACTAATAATTGAGGCTAACTCTGACCAACCTATTTAAACAGCAACTCAACACTCATCTGTTGAAATGCCAGTCCTCCTTGATTTGCTCAACATTTTTTCTTTCTTTTTTTTAGCACTTATTCCTTCTAACTTACTATAATATTTATTTATCACGTCTGTGCTTCCTCCCCTTCGCCGAGAATGTGAGCTTCGCAGGTGCAAGGATCTTTGTCCGTGTTGTTCAGTGATTTATCCTAAGTGCCTAGAACAGTGTCTGACACCATGGATGCACTCAGAAAATACTACTGAACAAATAATTCTATCGCTTGGCATGCTTGCTCTTCCTAGATTCAACACTGTGTTCAGAAAGCAAACAAACAAACAAAACAGGGCACGTGTAAACCCACACCCAGAAAAGAAAAAGAAGTCCAACTCACAGGGTATGTCAGCATGACACACAGCAAGACTCCTTTAGAATCATCTGCCCAAACTATCTCCCTAAGCTCTACTCATAAAATCATTGCAGCTGCTCCTATAATCTCTAAACATTTTATAAAAATCATGCCTGTGATTTCTATTTTTTTACCCTATATTTTCATTTATGCTTTTTAAATTTTTTCAAAAATAGCTCTCCAATCAATCAAGCTGAAATCTGAAAGGATAAAGGAGACAGTGTAGGCTTGCTTAGGGAGAATTTAGGTAGTCTGAAAATAAAATGGTAGAGATCAGGCAGTTGCAAAGTTTCAGTCAGTGAGGGGGAAAAGATCAAACCAGAGAAGAGCCAGGGATGTATCATTAAAATATTATCTGATGGGGTCACAGCTATGTGAGGACAGGGTACTCTCATATGCAAAGACACAGATTAAGGGTGAGCTCATCAATGAGCCCCTCAACGGTTTGAATAAGGTGAATACAGCCCTGTATCATACATGCAAAAACACAGCACTTCACAGATTAAGATTCTGAACTGGGCACATTTTGTGTGAATAAAGGAATCTGCTATTTCACACATTGGTAATTAACGTGCAGAAATCATTGCCCTGGTGATCATTTCAAAATATATGTAAATATCAAATCATCACATTGCACACCTGAAACGAATACTATGTTATGTGTCAATTATACCAAAAAAAAGAAGTCATTGTCCTCAAAAAGTAAGACAAGCAGAAAACGTATTCAATAGTGGCTTTAGGAAGTTTGTGATGCATCAGAGGTGACTACTTCCCTGTAGTCACTCTTCTGGGTTATCACCCTGGAGGATAAGAAAGACATATTCCTTGTTCTGTCAGCTACAGGATACTTGGCAACATAGACAGTTGCATGACGCCATTTTGGCAAAAAACTGTTTTGTATATTTCTCTACCTGCCAAAAATTGAAATTTGCAACCCCTATTCTACATCGTCTCTTGTGTTGTTCTCCTCACCAGGAGTGCCTGGTTCGTTTACCAAAATCTTCTTCTGGAGATATTTTAACTCCTAATCTCGCCATGGGGGTAAAACAGTAAAATCTCAATAGCTCATCCGCACTTCTCTGGTAGCAAACAATTTAAATTTAATGCCCAGGAAACACGCTGTTTGAAGTGAAATAGCAACATCACCATAAAATCTAGCAGTTTATGAAAGCTGGATGAACTAACTTGGGTATTATTGACAGAAATTATTGTATCATTAAAGTTACTGACATGGAAAATGAACAAGGTACTAAAATGACTGAATATACTGTCTATTACTAAGAAGGAAAGTCTTCCTGTATGGAAAACCATTATTAAAATTTATGAATACACATCTAATATCAGAATATATTATCTTAAAACATTCATCTCTCAGTTTTTGTGATTACTGCCACCACTTGCTTTAGGCAGAAATAACAGCTATTACATTATTGATGGTTCAAAAATTAGTATATTTTTATTAAAATTGTTTGCTGTTCTGTTTAAATATAAACTGTTTAGACTATCAGGACCCATATCTGCGTATATGTAATAAAAATAAGCACTATGTTATGTTTTATTATAAACATATTAAAGTTTTAAAAAGGTACATTCTACAGACATCATAAACTGTAATTTACCGTTCATGTGAATACTACTTTATTAAGATTATATGGAAGCGAGCTTATTTCATAATGGATGATTTTTGTATATTTTTAAGATTCATTATATGTCTTTGGATGACTTCCCCAAGGATCCCCTCTTAAATGAACTAAGATTATTAGAGACTTAAGGTCTGTACTTTACTGGGGGCTGGCTGAGACTTCTAGAACTTTTATCTTCAAAATATAAAATTAATAAAACTCCTTTCAGAATAACATAGCCCTCTCATAAAAGATCTGAAAATAGGACAGAATATCACCTAAATTCACTGGGTTAAATTCAACTCAAAATTAGATGTAGTTTGTTTGTGGGCAAAACATCTCAAAATGAAATTTTTTCATGTTGGAACGAAAGGCACTTTTTAGAAGTATGTTAAGGTAGTATATGTAATGCTGTCATAATATTTCATATAAAGGTTGTATCTTTCCACCATGTGAGAGGTCAACTAAGTTTTTACAAAAAGTTTCTCCCCAGATTTGCAAAAACTGACAAAGATGAGATCTTGTAATAATATTTCAGTATGTCTGTTTTGTAAGCAGACTCAACTACATTAAATATTCTACTTCAGTAAATCCCCATACTGCCTGCCAACACATTTTAATGTTTCTTTTCCTTCAGGAGGGGCCTTTAGAGGGAACCATATACTGAGGATGAGTAATGACCAAGACAAGAAGAAGAGGGACATTTCTGCTGTGGGCATCAGAAGCAAAACTAAAAATAAACTAAGTTCCTTTTCCAGCTGTTGCTTGCAAAACTACATGCATAATGCTCACATTCACCAAGGGAGGCTGAATGGGTTAATGTGACATCACATATTGTTCTGTCATATATAACCATGTCCTGATATAAACATCACTGCTAACATCACAAACAAAAGCCACAGGCACAGCAAGTGGCTCCTGTCTCCTTACCCCTTACAGGGTTGTGTGTTCGGGTGTTTCACTTGTCCTACAACAAAAACATGAATTCTGAAAATCTGAACAATTCGAGCAAGGATGAAAGGCCGTTTACCTGTCTATGATGGCACACATATCAATGCTGACATTCGCAAAACTTCCTGGCCTCCTTTGTGCCACTTCGTATAAATTTACAAGTTGATCATCCACTTGAATGAGCTGCATGCATCCTTGGAATGAAGGCTGAAGGACAGAGTGACTTGAGTTATTCATCTGGTTCCGATAACCTGTGAGAGAGAAAAAAATGGGAATGTTGAATTCTGTGTCCAGCATGCTTCACTAAAATTCCTCTGGGTGTTTTCCCTGACCACAGCCATCGTATCCAACTACTGTGTTTCACTGATCCTTGCTGTTGTACTCAGTGTGGAAGAATGAAGTCTTTTGAGAAAACAGTATTATTTCAGGGGAAGCTGTTAAGGGTTGAACCTAAGCAAATGTTTGTCTCTGGTCTATGTCTATGAAGCATCCTTCATATTTTCTCTTTTGACACCTTCTTTTTCACTCTGTCACATCTCTGTCCATCTGCTCACGGCTATACTTCTTCATGTGACCCTGTCTTCAGAGATCAGGATGTAAAATTTTAGACCTTTCCCAACTATCCAAGCTCCTTCCTTTTATGTCTTTAATATTTACTGTTATTTTCTTAATTCCTCAGAGGTCTGTTATTCGGATGTCAAGAAGCTAAACTTACTATTATCAACTAAGGTGGGTTTCTTTTATAGATTAATATCTAATTCAATCCAAAGAGACATTTGCATTACAAATGATTTCCCAATTTATAAAACCCAAAGAAACATAAAGAGATAAATTTAGGCATAAGGGTCAGCCACATTGCTCTGAATATTCATCTCATATAAGGTACCTAAAATGGTATAGGTAGCATAAGTGATAAGAAGTGAAACTAAAAGCTTAGAAGAATGAATAACAAAACAAAAAAAGAAAGTTTCTATTAGGGTTAGCAACTACTGGTTCTATTACAGAGTAGGATATACATATACTAAGGTTGAGATCAGATAATTTTAAAAATTTTATTGCAAAGTAACTTTAAAATAGCACCACAAATAAACTTCCTTTATGCCTCTCAATAGAAAAAATCATAATTCATATTATGCATAGAAAATCTGCAGGCCATATGGAATAACATTTCTTGATCACATTAAATATCTCCACAAAGTCCCCCAAATGAACTTCACCTATCAGAGCAAATTTAAACTGTAGTAATTTGTCTGCTTAAAAATCGTAAGTTATTCACACATTCTTTTCAATCTAATATTATATCTATAGCAAAAAAACAATTTATACAAAATGGGTTGGTATCAGGATGTGCCATTAATTGGATAAAAGGGAATTTTCAATAAAAACATTGTCCAAAAGATGACCATTAAGTGATTTTTTATTTTATTTAAAATATTTATTTATTTTATTTTATTTATTTATTTATTTTCGCTGCACCGGGTCTTAGTTGTGGCATGCAGGATCTCAACTTGCGGCATGTGGGCTTCTTAGTTGTGGCATGCGAACTCTTAGTTGTAGCATGCATACGGGATCTAGTTTCCCCACCAGGGAGCAAACTCGGGCCCCCTGCATTGGGAGCGCAGAGTCCTACCCACTGGACCACCAGGGAAGTCCCCATTAAGTGATTTTTTTTTAAATGTTCTATTCTGTTTGGCTAGTAATAGTAGTTTAGAACAATAGAAATCTCCTTCTCCCTTTATTAATGGGTTACAATAATTAAAATCTAATAATTATCAATTGAATCCTTTTTAAGGATTAATCACAGAAGTGTATACAATCATTTTCCATCAACATAGTAATATGTAAAAATATGATTATACTTAATTTCTTGGCTTAAAAATAAATAAGGCTCTATTTCAATGTCAAACATATGGCTTTTTTTTTTTCTTTTCTCTTTTCTGAGTCACTTTTTTTTTTTTTTTTTCATTTGCATTGACTTAATCCTCTCAGAAAATTGCTGATCTTAGCTAAGTGGTCTATTTAGACTAGCTATATGCATACATATGATTTTCACTCTGTCTAATCAAGATAAAATTGAATGGAGTTTAATGTCTAAACTTAGCAAAGAGAAAACATCCAGCTGTAACTTTACTGACTATTCTTAACATGACAATCATATGATTCTGTTTTTTGAATACTTGGGAGTCTCTAAATATCCACACTTGCTTTGAAGTATTCCAAAATGGGGACATCTATTGTGAGAACAAGACCTTCTCAGAAGCAAGGCAGCTGCATAACACACAGATCACTATCAAATGGGTATAGTTAAGTTCATAAAACAAGACTTCATCAGTCACTCATAACAATGTTGTTTGGCCCTGATGAATTCTGGAGTTTGAAATTGTCAATTCCTTTCATTTTCTACACGGGATACATTCTAGGAGAAGATAATTATAGTACAAACTACTACATGTCCATTATAATGTAGCCATGGAGCCTCATGGCTCATGAAGAGGCTGTCAGTAATGACTGAAAGGAAGGTGAGGAAGCAGTATTACTGGAAATGGAAGAAAACTGGATCATTGCTGTGTTGCAGTGGAAAGTTTAGCAAAACCGTGATAATGTGGAAAGGAAAACACTGTACTTAATGAACTGCATAACCTAGCTAAGGACATTTCCACACAGAGTACTCTGGCGTCTTCTCTTTGTTTATAGTAAAAGGGAAAAAGAAGAGAGAAAAACTAAAGACAAACTGCTAAATATAAGGAAGCTAGGTCTTGATGGATTTGAAAATAAAATATTTTCTTAATTTCAGTCTCTCCAGATGTTGAACGCAAAAAAATTAAGAAATCACTTCATGGCAAATTTCTACTACCAGGAAAACATGATCTAAAGATGATAATGAGGTGTGGCTATAAAATCCATATTAAGACCTCAGAAATATCTTAGATGGTGCCTCCAAGAACCATTCATTCAGACAAATTAACTTCTAGCCAGCTTACCGGTATGTCTCACAGAGCCTCTGAGTTAAACAATAATGGTTCTAATAATCTTATGGACATTTTCCCCTCAGCATGTCAGCGGAAGCCCAATGTGAAAAAGAGCTTATCTTTATGAAAGTGTGGATATGGCTTTTGTTTAATGAAGTAAAGCTAAACAGCATTCATAGGAAGCCTACATATTTTTAAGAGAACTGTACTAGTAGAACGTTGACCATTCCCTTATAGTTAGCAATGGGTTAAAGACGTTGAGTCTCTGGTACTGAAATTCCGGGTGCTCAAACACCCTCCTACGCTTGAAATGGAGGACAGCATATTATTATTTATTTCTGTTATTGTTCCCTGTATGTACAAATATAATTTCAGTAAAAAATCTTAGTGTAATAGTGTCTGTGATACTTTCAATGACTAAAGCTTAGGATTTAACCTACTTAGTAGATTAACAGCAGGACTGACTGGAGAAAAAAATTTGCAGCTGGGATTTTGAGGGTCAGAAATGAATAGATATAAAATGGATAGAGGGTTATACTCAACTAAAATTTGCCAAGTTATAAAAATTAAAAACAGGAAAAAAGTAAACTTTTACTTGTTTTGGCTTAGACCTTTAAATTTATTATATCTATGAATTTGAAATAAAAAATACAATGTCTATACATGGGTTGTAGTTACTGGTGATCTGACGATATGTTGTAATACCCACAGTGAATTGTAATTGTGTCATTCTCAATTGCATCTATCAGTGAACTGGATCATTATAATTATGTTACCTTACTGGCATGTTTGAGATTTCCATTTCAAGACTTGGCATATAAAAACTTTATCCTGATTTGAAGTCCTTTCAGCATTTAGTTATTCTTGTTGACAAAAGAAACACATGCGTTTTCAAGGTTTTAAAATTTTAACTCAGATATACGTTAGTGAAAAGCATGCTGGTATTTGTTTTGACATTAAAATGCCAATCTAAGTTGTTGTAAATTATATGGTAACTTGATGGGACAAGAAAAGCAAACAACAGGCAACAGGGCTGCATATTTTACATGTCTAAAACTACATGCATACAAGATGTCTCTATTTATACTTATTTTAAAGTTGGGAAGTTTAGGAGGTTAGAAAGGCTGGTAGAATGCTGTAAAGATGCTAAAAACCATTTAGGCTTTTCCTTTTAAAATAACCTTGGAATATTGTGCAAAGCGTCTACTAATATCTGTTTACCAAATCTTCCTAAAGAATTCACCCTGGTGGGGTTGGGCCCAAGCAAGCAGTGTGTTAGAGTGAGCCAGGAGTGAGCCCAGTGGTGCTTGGTGCCTGCAGTAAGGACAGCCAAGCACATGCCCATCTGGCACGGCTCGGAGACTGACTACAATACAGGTTGATTGAGCAAATAAATAAATAGATTGACGATAGTGCGAGCCAGGTTCACGTTGTCAGGAAAGGAGGGTGCAAATGAAAAGAGGGAGATCTTGAATGGATCCTATGGGTTTGGATTGGAATTTAATCTGTAAGTGTGCACTTGTGGTTTTCAGTATATACATATAGAAATAAATCTAGATGGAATTGTGTATATACTCAATATACAGGTGGTTTCTACCACACACTGAAGATGGTCCAGAGAAGGATTATACCCAGAAGAAATGAGTCCCTTTACAGTTCAGATCTTAGTTTCTCTACTGAATAAAAACAGGACTCTTTGGAGAAAGGCTGATCCTAGAGCTGGGTCACAGAAAGCACAATATGAGCCTGGAACATTTTGCTGCCCAGGAAAGTAAATAAGTGCTCAAGGAACGATGGTGTCATGTCAGAATGACATAGGGGCCAGTCTTAAGAGGGCTCCTACTGCTCCTATCTGGACAATTTTAAAACAAAATAAATAATTTGAGCATCAGAAAGATACTTTGAGTATCAAAAGAAAGGAAGGAAGGAAGGGAGGGAGGGAGGGAGGGAGGAGGGAAATAAGAGCAAAAGGAAATAATTTATAGATATATTTCATCGAATAACAGGAATCCATGAGTCCACCTGCATAAAAATGAATAAACAGGAGAATAGAAATATCTTCCTGTGATAACTAACAAATGTAAAAAGCATGTTGGAATTAGAAAGGTACAATCTGGCAACCATCATAGTAGTAATTAATCCAGGCAAGAAATATTAACTGATGCTCGAGTGAGTGGGTGAAATTTGGATGATGAACAGTCTCCAAGTGTCTCCCTATGAATATATTCACTAATTTCAAAGGGGAAAGTAGTCATTTTACAGCAAAGAAGCCTGGCCGACAT